CAAGTAGAGTGCATTGCAATTGTCCAATCTAGAGGTAACTAAGGCGTGGACCATCGTGGTCAAATCAGACTTCACGAGGTATGGTTGCAGCTGGCGCACGGGTTTTAATCGTGTGAAGGCCCTCCCTTCTCCTTCAGTTCTCATTTGAGAGATGCAGAAGTGGCATTGTCTTTCATCAACCCAAGGCTGGCAAATTTGTCAGCCTCTGCCTCGCAGAAAGGCACTTATCCTTACTTCATTAGCAAATAATTCTTTTTGTAATATGCACCTCAAAATTGATGCACTAGACTCAAGTAAATACTAGTATATGTAAGTAGGCAATGAGCAGAGTTATAGAGATTTACTCATTAAGATCACATGAGAAGGCCCTTAACTGTGTCCTACTACCTTCTCAAGTTCATTTTGTAGTCCTAGCATTCCCTTTCTAGGTATTTCTTTCCTTTAGCTACTGAAATTAATTGTGGCCCCAGGATAGTAGAATCTTAATGTGATGGGCTATTAATGATGTGCTGTTTTATTGTTTGTATATTTTAATTAATTTTCAAGTTTAATGTTATGAAATATGTTGTTGGCCATCTTGAGTCTCATTATTGGGATAAAGGGAGGCTATAAATGATCATGGTGGTGGTGATCATATATAATCCCATTAGCAATAGTTTACAATCTCTGGTTTGGCCCTGATGGTCAGTTCTCTGTTCCAGCAATCAATTGATTATATCAGTTAATAGTCTAAAACCAACTCTTCTTTCATCACATATTCTTATTATTTAAGTCCTGGCCTGACATTTCCTCTGGATCCCCGTTCTAAAAGTTTTTTGAAATTCAAGATGTTTTAATGAATTAGAATTTGTGTTTGGGGTACCAGATATAGGATAGAGCATCGCATTTATAAACATTTATTAGATTTAAGAAGATGTGGGAAATTGTTCATAGCAGTTTGTGGTTCACTTTGTGTGGGAAGCCAGACTCCTGCCTTCTGCATATGTAAATAGCAGTGACAGATGTTCATTACAGAGAAGTTCACAGAATGATTATGAAACAAAAGCAAATGTCTTGCAGGATATTTCATCATTGGAAATGACTGGTTTTAATTCCCATATTCACCAATACATTCTAGCTAGGTATGACAAGCAATTTTTCTACTTCACATGGCTAGGAATAGCAAGCTTCTGAAAGTTGATAGAACCGAAGCACAAAGGAAGGAAGGAAGGAAGGAAGGAAGGAAGGAAGGAAGGAAGGAAGGAAGGAAGGAAGGTTCAAGCAAATTATGCTTTCTCCATGTGAATCATGTATAAACAGCTGTTGTATTTGGAACCATTAGCATGGCAGTTTTCTTGGCATGGTTTGTTCAGAAAGACCATAGCCTCCCAAGGTATCAATCCATCTTTTCTTTAGCGTGTCCACATGGCTGTTGTCCTGCAATCTCCAACTGCTGCTCTGGGCCAGAGTGAACACAGGGGGAGGGCAGGAAGACAGTTCCACCTTGTCTCCTGCTTATGCCATCAGCTTGGAGCCCCTCCTCCTAGCACCAGCTGCTGCTCTGGGCCAGAGTGAAAAGAGAGGGGGCCAGGAAGACAGTCCCACCTTGTCTCCTGTGCTATACTAATAATATAATAAGATAATACTTCTAATAATGCAATATTATAATTATATATTTTATATTACATGTAATATTACTAATAATATTACAATATAATGGTATAGTACAATATAGTAATATATAATATAATATATAATGGTATAGTACAATATAGTAATATATAATAATGATATTGTGCTATGCTAATAATATAATATATTGTATGTATGTGTGTGTGTGTGTATATATATATAGTAAGCCGCTCTGAGTCCCTTTGGGGTGAGAAGGGTGGCATATAAATGTCGTAAATAAATAAATAATTGTGCTGTTTGTACTACTGATGTTGGTTCTCTTCTCATGACATGGCCATACCACCATAGTCTTGCTTCCTGCATTTTCTTGCTGATCTTTTTTATTCCTAGTCTTTGAGGGATGTCATCATTTGGCACATGGTCAAGAAATGTCAAGCCAAGTATCCATCTAAGCATTTTCATTTCCATTATGTTAAGGGCTTGTTCATGTTTCTTTGTTGCTGGCCAGCACTCTGCCTTGTAGAGAGCTACTGGGAGAACAACTGATCCACCTCGGTTGATATAGTTGGGGGAGGCCCTGCTCTCAATACCGCCACCCTTGCAAGTGTGATTGGCAGGGACAAGAGACTGGGCGTTCTTGGCCCTCCATCTGTAGAACTTACTCCTTAATGAAATTAGGTTGGCCCCCTCTCTCCTATCCTGTAGGGGAAAAAACTTAAATCATGGGGCCAAGCATTCAAGCAGCAGATGCAGTAATAATAATGCAAATGATTTATGTGACTGACAACGGACAGACCTTGGATTATGACTGTGGATCTGGATTTGGATTTTGTTTAACTATTGAATGGATGTTTATAATTCGATATTTTAAGCTAATGTTTTAATTGTGATTTTATTACTATTATTTCTGAGAAGGACACGATATAAATGTCTAAAATAAATAAACAAACAAACTGTAGTGTAGACCTTATCCTTGAGTTGCTCAGGAATTTTTGGGTTACACAGAATGCTAGTAGTTTGCCCCTTTTTCAGCCAGACTGCATTTATTCGTGACTGCATGTCTGGCATTGTGTCGCCATCTATGGAGACCAGTGACCTTAGGTATTTAAGCTGGGCTGCCTTCTTTAGTGCTTGTCCATTAATTTGAATTGTTTTTTTTTTCAGTTTGAAGGCCACATTCCAGATACTCTGTTTTGGTTATGTTCAGTTGAAGCCCACTTTCACTGTGTCTGTCACTCCATGCCTGCAATTGTTGTTGGAGGGCCGCAGGTTTTTGGTAGACAAGTGCAATGTCATCTGCACATAGGAGTGTCCAGGCATGCATAGTCTGCAAATTTGCTGTAGCATTGTACATGCAGGGTATGAATAGTAATGGTGAGAGTGCTGATCTCTGATGCCCACCAACAGTCATGTTGAAAGGTGATGAAATCCCTGCAGGGCAATGGACCATACTTGTTGTATTATTGTATAGTAGCTTTATCCATATTACATAGTCTTCTGGTATTCCATGTGACTGTAGTGCTCACCAGATCCGATTATGGGGAACCCAATCAAATCCTTTTATGAGATCAAGGAATACAAAGTGCAATGTTTTCTTCTTTTCTCAATGTTTTTCCATGAGTAACCAGACTGCATGTATATCATCTATTGTGCCACATCCCCTGACAAAGCCACTCTGGTTTGGTGTAACAGCTGTGTGATTTCTTAGCCTTTTGTCCAGTATTCTTTCAAATACTTTCATTGCATGACATCATAGGCATATTGGGTGGTATGTTGAACAATTATAGATACTTCCTTTGGCCTTCCAAATTGGTATGGTTATACTGGTTGTCCAGTCCTTGGGGAGTGATTTTTTTCTGTTATGATTATGTTGAATAGTGATGCCAGAAAGGTAACCCCACAGTCTTTGAGCATTTTCCAAATTTCAGCAGGTATGTGATCTAGGCAGGTAGCCTTTACATTCTTTTTTTGGGGGGGTGGGGGGGTGGGGGGGGGTGGGGTTATGGTTGCCTTTGATGTATTGGCTGTGATAGCCAATACTAGGCCAAAGACTGGAACAGGGTTATTATTGGTGGGTGGGGAAATTCTATATTACTAATGTTGGAAAAATAGTCAGAGCATTTTTGTACGATTGTTTGAGTGTTACTACTTGTGTTAGTACTTCTTTTATTAGATTTGGAAGGTCTTGCACAGTCAGAATTCTTCCCCTTCACTGGTTTATCTTTCAAATTTAATTTGGAGATTCTAGATGACCTTCCTTTATTTCCCCATTACAAAGATCTGTTCTCTTTCTTCTCCTTACTTTGGATCCAATTTCACACGATTATCTTTTATCCACAGAAAATAAGGGTGGGGAGACACAATCCTTTGTAGTTCTGTACTACAGAGACATACCAGAGCAGAGCAATTGTTAGTAAAGCCACATTTCATTGACTCAATATATTTCTTTTCATTTTGTTTCTTTTTTCCTTCCCATTTGACCTCTCACATAGTAATCATGTACCTTGAAGATAAAATTGATTTAAGATCCAAAGGGGCACACGTGATGAAAGCATTAATCACCTTGAAGTTAATTAGACATCCAATAAGTTAATCAGTAGTAATGAAATACTTTTGTATCTGAGCTATAAAAAAAAATAAGGGAGTTTACATTCCTAATAAAGGCGATGCTGTCTACCTGTCTCTTGCTAGTATCAAATACTGATATGATGCTAGCTACAACACATACTCCAAGGGTATCTTTCAAGGATCTCATTCAGTAGTATCTGGAGGCAATGGGAATATTGGTAATCTGGGCACATAGCTATAGTATTTATTTATTTATTTATCCAAATGCCATCTTCATTTATGCCATTTGGATATATATGCAATATACTTGAGTGTATCACTGGCAGACCATGGTCTTCTATTTCATCTGTAGAAGTGAAATAAATGTTTAGCTTATTATATGAAAAAATATATTATTTATTTATTTGAAATATTTGTGCCTTGCTCTTTAGCCATAAAGACTCTCAGAATATCTTGCAAGTGGTTAATATGACAGTTGCCTATCTAATCTAACTGTACACATTGTAGAGAATGTGCAATGATAACTGGAACAGCTTTTTGACTATGATCTTAGTTTGTGTGGTTTTAATAATGTGTTTAATCTCTATATGGCTTTCATATTTATGTTTTAATGTACATATTTATTTTATATTTGTTGTTGATATGGCATTGAATTGTTGCCTTTTGTAAGGCCACACTGAGTCTCCTTCAGGGTGAGAAGGGTGGGATATAAATACTGTAAATAAAAAAAATAGAAAGATGGATAATACAGGAAGGAAATATAGATTGTTTCATATTTATTTCCATCCATTTATTTTCTTATTTTCTCTTTCTTTCTTTAGTGGTTTTTGGGCAGTTTGTATTTTTCCAGACATCACTGCATGATGTTGTTGAGGTATATGACGGTCCAACTCAGCAGTCATCTTTATTATCTTCTCTGTCAGGATCTCATTCAGGTATGTCATAACCTAACTATTGTATTTTTATTATTACTTTCATAGATTTGTATGGTAAATATTGTAGTGAATAATAGTTGGATTTGAATGTGGATCATATGGTTTCAAATGCCAAATCACATTGCATGTCCTTCTTGATAAGTCCAACCCTGCATATATTTACTGAATGTAAAAAACAAATATCTGGTTACAGCCTGTACGCTTTGTGTGGCATATAATTTAGTCATCATTCATGTTTTGACATTTTGGTTAATGTAGGATTGGAACCTGAACTAACTCAATATGAGCAAATAACCATTCCTTATAACACAAGAGGAAGAGAGATTTTCAACCTTTAATACTTTCCCAATTTTACATTCCTCAAGTCTACCTCTGAGTCTCAGGATTGGCCCAATGCAAGATACATTCAAAATGTGTTCAAATAGTAATCTGTCATTTGAGTTCAGAGTATCAATTAGGAGGAAAGGTGTATTTTTCTTCTCCCTTAGAGATCTCATTCCTATTGTGTCTCCTGAAAATTTGCTTTGCAGATATAGATGTCTTTTCAGAGTAGCAGCACATAATGTTTCAGTAAGAATGGAAAATCAACAATCCTCCACTTTTTACTAATGATTGCCACAAATGGATGGCATTTTTACACTAAAAAAATCATTTGAATCCAATCATTCCCTCCCTTCTTCCAGTATTAATTTTATTATGAGTCGATTAAAGAAAAGGGACATTCCTAATTTGGAAACATATTAGGTACAGTGTGGAACTAAATTAAGCAACACTGTACTTAAGATGGTTATTACACCGTGTATGATTTTGGTTTGCGTAATACAGATGCATTGCTCACACTTGTCAAGAAAATGTGATGTATCCCTGGGAAACCTAAATTCTGAAATGGATTTTTTAAAAATCGAATTTTCCTATCAGATTCCATGGAAGTTGAAAAGTTTAATTTCTTTTGCATCAAAATCATGTATTTTAGGCACAGCAATAAAAAAAATGGTTCCAAACTGTGTTCAAAAGTAGGGTGTGCTGGTGATTCAATTCTAAAGTCACTTCTGATTTTTTCTGAAAGTTTTTTTGAAACTTTCCGAAACTTCTGAATCAATTTGTTAATGGAGGACACTAGGCCTGTTTGATCAAGAAAAAATTTGTTTCTAAAATCGATTTGTAATTGGGGTGTTTTTTTGTTTCGATATTTAAAATAATTACAAAACTTTCCCAAAAAAGGTTTTGGTATTTACGAAATTTCGTAAATATTTACAAAACATTTTGTAAAGATGGCGGACCCCCGCGCATGCGTAAAAAACACTTCCAAAGCTTCGTTATTTCTGAGGATGCCTGCCATACATGCAGGCAAAACGTCAGGAGAGAATGCTTCCTTCCTTCCCCTTCCCCCTTTCTCTCCCCTTCCCCCTTTCTCTCCCCTTCCCCTTCCTTCTCCTTCCCCCTCCCTCCTTCCCTCCCTTCCTTTCCTTCTTCCTTCCTTCCTTCCTTCCCTTGCCCCAGATGCCGGCCCGGGGAAGCCAGCGTTGCCTGGCCACGCCCACCCGGCGCCGCCTCCGCTTGTTCTCCTGGCACAGCTGGGAGGGGAACAGGAGGTGCTTCATGGCCGCAGATCTTCTTCTGCTGTGCTCTCTTGTTCTCCGTGGCCACGAGACGCCACCTGCTTCCCTCCCAGCCGTGCCAGGAGAACAAGCGGAGGCAGCGCCTGGCCCGGTGTACCACGGAGAGAAAGAAGAAGGAAGGAAAGGAAGGGAGGGAAGGAGGGAGGGAGGGGAAAGGGAAGGAGGAAGGGGAAGGAAGAGGGGGCCAGGGGAAGGAAAGAAGGAAAGAGGGGGAAGCCTGGTCCGGCAAAGTTTGGTCCAGATCCAACATTGTTTGAGTCCACAGTGATCTCTGGATGTAGGTAAACTACAACTCCAAAACCAAAGGACACTGCCCACCAAACCCTTCCAGTATTTTCTGTTAGTCAGGGGAGAACTGTGTGCCAAGTTTGGTTCAATTCCATCGTTGGTGGGGTTCAGAATGCTCTTTGATTATAGGTGAACTATAAATCCCAGTAACTACAACTCCCAAATGTCAATGTCTATTTCCTCTCCTCCCTGCCTTCCATGAGGATGTGTGTGTGAATGGCGAGAAAAGCAAGAACCCTGGAGTCCACACGCCTCACTTTACAAAGAATACAACCACAACTGTTGCTAATCAGTGGTGCAACGGGATAAACACTTGTGCCGATAGAACGGCTGACTGAGAGGTCAGCGGTTCGAATCCGAGGAGAGTGGGGTGAGCTCCCCCTGTCAGCTCCAGCTCCCCATGCAAGGATATGAGAAAAGCCTCCCACAAGGATGATAAAACATCAAACATCTGGACTTCCCCTGGGCAACGTCCTTGCAGACGGTTCTCTCATACCAAAAGCGACTTGCAGTTTCTCAAGTCATCCTGACACGATAAAGAAGCACTCCCTGTCAGGCACAGGCATGTCTTGGAGCTCTTAATGAGACAATGGGTTAAACCCTTGTGACTGACAGGTCAGCAGTTCGAATCCAGGGAGAATGGGTTGAGCTCCCTCTGTCAGCTCCAGCTCCCCATGTGGGGACATGAGAGCTCCCGCAAGGATGGTAAAGCATCAAAACATCCTGGCGTCCCCTGGGCAACATCCTTGCAGACGGCCAATTCTCTCACATCAGAAGCGACTTGCAATTTCTCAAGTCGCTCCTGACACGAAGAAAACTGTTGCTGATCCAAAGGGGAGGCTGCAAGTGGGGGCTCTTGGCGAGCAAGCAACGCCGTCTCCAGGCGGATTGCTTCCAATATGGGTTTCAAAGGAAAGGAGAGAAAAAGGAAAAGAAGGATTTCGTCTCCTTCCTTGCAATGTTTTTGTCAGCCCGGTTTGAAAGGCTCTCCCTTCCCCTTGCACCCGCCCTTGCCGTTCCCTCTTCCCTGCTTTGCATTTTGGTCAATAAACAGCAACTTCAAGGGATGTATTTGGCGGGAGGGAGGAGGAGGAGGAGGAGAGGATAGCTACTTTCCCCCAAACTCCACCAGTGCCCTAAGGGCGAGCGCGCGCGGGCCGGCCAATCGGGAGCCGCGCTCGCGCCCAACAGGCAGGGGCGGGGCTTGGCTCACTGGGTGCGCGCTCGCGCCGCCCCCTCGCCCCGCCCGCCCCATTTACGAAATGGGCGAAAGCTCGTAAAAACTGTGGGGGTTGCCGTTTCGATATTTAAAAACCCTTCCGGGTTTGAAAATATGTTTTGTTATCGTTTCGTATATGCAAAAATTAACGAATGTTTAACGAATTAACGAATTAACGAACGAAACTGCACAGGCCTAGAGGACACACATGTGCAACTTCAGAGCCTTCTCTCTCCCTTCAAAGAGAAGGGAGGCAGTTGAACCCCCCCCCCCCCCCAAAAAAAAATAAATAACTGCGGTGCCTTTCCCTTGACTTTGAGAAGGCACATGGGAGGGGGGTGACGTTCAGGACCGGAGTTTTTGGAGATAATAGATAAAAATGACCAAAAAACCCAGGCACTGAAAGACTCTCTCAGATTTCACAGTCACTTTACTAATTTCTCTCTCTCTCTCCCTCCCGAACTTTTCTTTCTTTCTTTCTTTCTTTCTTTCTTTCTTTCTTTCTTTCTTTCTTTCTTCTCTCTCTCTTTCTCTTCTCTCTCTCCCAAAATCTTTTCTTCCTTCTCCCTTCCTTTTCCAAACCTCCTTTGGCTCCAGTGCCTTTGCCTGCATACCCTTCCACCTACACAGCAGCAGTAACAGCAAAAGAGATCCCAACCACCCTCATCCCTTCCCTAGCTGGAATGAACTTTCCAACCATGTGCATTGGGTTTATAAGCAGCAATGGCTGCTGGATGCTGGATCCCTCCCTTTTACAAAACATAAGCCCTGGTTGGCTGGGAGGCAAGCACTTTAGGCTGCGCCTCCCAGCAGACTTACTTTCATCATAAAGGCTTTCTCATACTTCCGAATCGACTTCTGAGCCATTGAAACCAATAACCCAGGTCGCTTTCAAAACTACAGAGGAATTCTGACTTGCAAGTACGCGTCAGAGCCCAGTCTGGAAGTGTGAAACTTCCAACTTTAGTTCCGACATCCGCAACTTCCAAACGAAACCGCCCATGCCTAATGTATTTGGTTGTAGGATCATTTCCAACAGACTTCCTTTACACAACAATTGTTCCTGCTTTCTAAACTATTATGCTTAATCTTCAGATAGATTCATACGATTTATATGGAAGTCTGTTCCATATGAAGAGTCCAGTGTTCTGTTTCCAATATTTTTGCCAACTGTCTTTGAGAAATACATAAACATTGCATGATTTGAATACTGATTTGATATTCATACTGATGGGTCTAATGGCCATGAGCCTTCAACAACACAATGATACAATAGTTTTGTCATGGCATAAATGTATGTTGTTAACTTTGTGAGATATTATTACTGGATTATAGGTACATCATTTTTATGCAATAAAAATGCTTATTTTTTTTCAAAAAATATATAGGAGAATCCCTTCCACTGAGCTCAGGGAACCAGATTACCATCCGATTTACTTCAGTTGGACCTGTGACAGCTAAGGGATTCCACTTTGTGTACCAAGGTATGAGACACAAGTGTTCTAATTTCAGTTCATTTTGAGTGTTCACCTTTGGTTTCCTAAGCATACATTTTGGAAAAAACAAACAATCCTGTGTTTAACATAGGATATATTAGTAAAGTTTAAAATATAGAACAATGAAAATGCCATCTGGCTAATAATGTATGTGTGGATGCACACACAGAGACATATGCACCACATCTATTGAAGTCATTAACAACCAAAACGACAAAATCTAAAATGAGGAAAACACTTGAGCTTCTGTCTTCTTCAGTTGCTAAACAAGAAACTGAGCTGCATCCAAAGCAGCAGTTTGGCATACTTCAGAGAGAATGCTATTCCTAAATCCATAGCAAGAAACTACAATGATTTAAAATATGAAAAGCTCAGAGGGAAAATACAATTAAGAATGGTTAGGAAAAAGAAAATCTGCATTCTTTTAGTTAGATCTGTTTTATCTAGGCTGCCAATCTTGTGTGTATATGTGAGAGAGAAACTGTTGTTATATGAAATTGTATTACAGAACTGTATTTGTTCTCTTGACATTTTATTTTACTTACATTATTTGCCTTTTTAAAGGTAGAGATACACAAAAAAGCCTATATATCAATATATGTTACTGTAATTTAATGCTTTATAAGATATAAATATCTGTTGAGAGGAAACAGGAATGTATATTAAATTAAAAAACATAAGAAAAAAATATGTAGACACTGCAACACTTTGAATTATCAGTGTATAACTCAGAAAGAGCATTAAAATCCCCAAGTCATTTTCCAAATAGGTTGGAGTGATACATCACTTATCTAATCAGAACTGTAATTTTACTTTAAACTTAAGTAGTTTAAGCATCTTAGGTGGCATACTGATGAAGATGATGAGATACATTTAAAGGCATTTTAAATGTTCCCACAGACTAAAATATTTCTTTTCCACCATGAATACTATTTCTTTTGTTTTACTAGCGGTTCCAAGAACAAGCTCAACACAGTGTAGTTCAGTTCCTGAACCACGATATGGAAAAAGAATTGGCAATGAATTTGCAGTTGGTTCAGTGGTTCTTTTTGAGTGTAATCCAGGCTACATACTCCGTGGATCAATCGCAATTAGATGTGACACAGTGCCCAATGCCTTGGCACAGTGGAACGATTCCCTTCCTACATGTGTTGGTGAGTACTTGAAAGTATTTTATTTGCTGTATCTAGTTATTGTGTGATGAAGTATTATGTTAGGTTTGAATCTATTGCTGAATCGTTTCTTTTTGTACATCGTTGAATAATTTCTTCCACAGAATCCATTGGATATTCCCCATTTTTTGAAATTATTTTATTAATAATTTGACACAAATAGTCTAATATACAATCAGAAAATATACAGTCAAAAATAATGAAACGTGTCTGTCTATATCTATATTCAAATGGAAACTTGTACAAAATAAGCATAACATACTTTATCATTCACGGGAATGCAAGACACTTTCAAAGCAAAATCTGGGCAAACTATTCTTAACTAGAATTATTGTTCATGATGTTTTAGGAAAAACTGCTTCAGTACCACCAGCTACTCCTCTCTCCCCTCCATATCATATGCAAAAATCCTAATTTAAAATTTTAAAGAAACTCTTTGTAAGGCAGGAAATATATCTTCACAATCAAGATAAATTCAATATATGTATACACACAGCATGATTTCACATTAATAAAAATAAACCCATAAGAATAGGAACAAGCATTAAAGCATTTTCTTGTGATTTGAGCTTTCTGACTGTATAACGTACACAAGTATGGATAACTTAAAAAAATAGACAAATTGAAAGATGTTTAAAATCATAATCAAATCCTTCATTAACATTATTCCATCAGATTTAACTTTTTCAGGAATCACTTATATCTAATTTTGTAACATTCCATCTTGTCCAAATAGCATTACACTTATCTTCCCCATTTTTTATTCTCTTTCTTAAAAAAATAAACCAGAAGTGACTTCCAGTCTGCTTCCTGTTTTTGTAAAAGCATTTTCTAAAACAGGCATAGCAAAAGGGGCCAAAACATGACAAAATTGTCTCCGTCCCACCCCTTAAAGAGCTAGTATCTATGGATGGAAAGTGCAGAGAGGAGTGCCAATGGATGGACATTGCAATCCGTCAAGTGCCAATGGATGGACATTGCAATCTTCAAACACTTTCAATTTCCCTGTGAGAGGGACCTTTTTAGAAATGGTCATGGAATGGCACTTCAGAAAACATGACTAGTCAGCAGATTTAAAGGCCAAGATTCTACATTAGCCTGAATATTATAAAACTCTGCATGTGTAGTTACATATGGACAACGCTTGAGTTAAATTGAAAGCTTGAGCAGACCAAATGTCCATGTGTTTCTGCAGACTTGAACAAGTACAGACATTCCTCATCCCAAAAAAATGTCTTCCTTTGTCATGTAAACATATGCCTGTACTGGGTGAGCTAAAATGCAAAGTGGTATCAGTATTTAATAACTCCTTTATTCTTTTGATTTTAATGTATAATGCCATAGTATCATCTGTGAGTGTATGTGTCATATAGTATATTGTTGTTGAAATGTACGTATTCTATGGTGATGTGTTTTAGTAGTGTTGTGCCCCACTTTGAACTGTGAAAAGAGGCAAGTAACAAATAATAATAACAATAACAATAATAACAATAACAACAGCAACAGTAGCAATATTGGACAAAAATTTACATTACTTGTGAACAATCAAATCTCATAAATAGTACCCATTTTCTACTTCACACAAATGTGCCCCATCCTAAGAAGTTTTCATGACTTTTAACTCACCCTATATAAGAAAGAAAGATTTTAGCTAGTTTCCTTTAGGCACAAGTCAATGATCTTTTACATTTCTAGCCTTGAAAATATTTGTTGCTATTATAAAGGCTTGCATTATTTAGTTCTGTGCTAGTATAGTTATTATTCCTGTTCTAATTCCTTTCCTACCCCCAGCATGGGGGTGGGGAAGTGCTTTGCTCCCTTTCAGTGAAGGGAGAGGCAGATAGTCCTGGCCAAGACTTGTTGTGGGTGGGACCAGCCTGAGTGTGTGTCCCACTCACCTTACTTCTTTATTTGGTGCCATGGTGTTTCCTGCTTTCTTCTACATTTCTGTAATTGTGATCTTAATTTTGCCACTTGAAAAAACAAAATCCTTATATAACACCCAGGGAATTCTTGTTAGGAACAGCTTATAAATTGAATAAATAAAATAAAATAATAAAAGCTATTTTTGCCTGAAGGAAAGTTTATAAGCCAAAAGCATTAGTTGCTCTTCATTAGTGCACATCTCCCTTATGATTTAGTGCATAAATATGTATGAGCATAAAACACCACTGAACAAAATCAGGTTAATAATTGAAATGCTAGACATGACCACCTGAAATTGCCTTAGCTCTCTAGTAAATGCCTTGGTGTTTTCTTACAGATATCAGCTATCAGTCATTGTGTCTGCTCTTGCTTTTACCAGTAATTATTTAAACTATTTAAGTGACACTGACCTTTAGTTTATTCATGTAGTCCCTGACAGATTCTATCAGTTATATGCACTGCAAAATGTAGCTGCTGTATTCATTACTTAGATAACTTCCCTACTACTATGTATTCTCCAAGTCCTCATATTTGTGTCTAATGAAACAAGCTCAAGGACTTGATAATGCTGTTCTTCAGGAGTGATGTATTGGCTGCTAATGCTACTCATAAAACTTCTCATCAATCATTTCTCCAAGCCATTAAAACACCAGCCGAATATCTGTATTTAGATGACAGTCTAATGTGATTATATTAAAATGTCTAGTTTCTTGACCACAAGTATCATTCATGTTTAGCATCAAATACCAATGAAATACCCTTCTGAATTCTTTTTATTTATGTTTATTATTACTGTCATTGGTTTTGATGCATAGTTTTATTCTGCTGGTATGAGAGTCTGTGAGATAACTTTTGTGCAAAATGCTAGCTGAAGAATAAGAGATCCAACTCTTTTTAAAAAGTCTGTTGCCTTTGGCATTTCTACTCACCACGATGACAAATCAATACTTGCCCACTCCCACAAAAGGCCATAGTTGGTTCAACCCGCACTTTTCAAGAAGGCGTGGATCTAATCCACTTTCAAATTACCTTGGCACAAAGTAGGGTTTTCCTGCTTTGTGCCAAATTTGTGCCAAATGTGACTTAAGCATCCATGGGGAATCCAGGGATCAAGCCTCAGCAGATACCAGATGTCACTATATATTTAACACTAGTTTAACTATTCACTTTACTTTTTAAATATATTAAACAAAAAGCTTAATTCATCTTGCTTTTACTGTTTCATCTCATATTAAAACATATTTTAATTTACACATTGAAACAAAAATGGGGGGGGGAGCGAGAGAGAAAGAGGTAAGAAATGTTGTTGGTTCCCCACCCCACAGTCATTTTGAACTGTAAGGTCATATTGTAAAACCACTACACTCATTCATATTTGTATATTTATCATTTGTATTATATCTCTGGTTCCTAATTTATTTCTAGTGCCCTGTGGAGGAATTTTAACTAAGCGTAAGGGAACCATATTGTCTCCTGGATATCCTGAGCCTTATGACAACAATCTGAATTGTGTCTGGAAGATCACAGTGCCGGAAGGAGCTGGAATTCAAGTAAGAAACATATCAATTTTAAAAACTTATCTCATCATAGGCTATCATTTCTAGGTTTGCTGAAAGTATGAAGAGATCAAATTATAACAAATATAATAGCAGGAAAGAGGCATAACAATTATATAGTTCTTTCTGGGGAAAAAGTTCTAGGAGGCATAGTTCCATTTACTAATACTTATTTTATTGCTTCAAGGTAAATATTTTATTTTTATTTATTTATTTACAGTATTTGTATACCACTTTTCTCACCCCGAGGGGGACTCAAAGCGCTTTACATATAAGTAATGGCAAAATTCAATGCCAGTACAAACAATTACAATTATACACTACAACTAGACATCAATCAAGTTATGTCTAAATTATAAATTATAAATATAATTGGTCTTTCAATTATATTTATAATTAATATAATCAGCAAGATGGAGTGGATGAGGGATTGGAGGACATCCAACCCCAAATTGGGAAAGAAGTCGTCCAGGAAT